AAAGCTGAATACCATACATATAAATACCCGTGAAAACTTAAGAATATAGATAGATAGATAGATAGATAGATAGATAGATAGATAGATAGATATAGAGATATAGATATAGATATAGATTAGATATAGATATAGATATAGATAGATATAGATATAGATATAGATATAGATATAGATATAGATATAAATGTTTCATTTTACAACAAGACATCTAATGCAGATTAATGTTATAGTCACATCTGATTAGAAATTAATCTACTTTTAATCATTGCAACTCGAATCGGATAAAAGCTTATAAATAATTCTGTTTGGATTTTTTTTTAAAAGCACATCCTTGGGAAGGCCAACTTCAAAGCCAGAAGAATATATTGAAAACAACATCCCTGATTTCTTTTTCTTGAGATTCCTACAACTACGGATCCTATTATTTCGAAATGTTGAGCGCGGGGTTTAAGCAGAAATGATTCTATAAGGGTTTTCTCCCTGTAACGTTCTATCGTGGCTATGTAATGTAATGATAATTGCAACTTTAAATAGGTAGTTAGAAGTGTGCGGAGGTCACCATTCACTTGCAACCTTCCTGGATTTGCAAGTTTGCAGATGGTTTGCATGGGATTAATGCGACTCAATGTTAATGTATAAGGCTGTGCATTCTTAGTTTCCTGGCCTGAGTCATGGTTTTTTTCCCCTTCTCCCCCCCCTCTCTCCCTGTATTCTCTGCACGAGTAGAAGATAGATGAAGAGAATGAAGCAAACTTACTAGCAGTCCTCACAGAAACGTTGGATAGTATCCCAGTGGACGAAGATGGATTGCCTTCCTTCGATGCCCTGACAAATGGAGATGTGACCAGCGAAAATGAGGCTAGTCCTTCATCGGTACCTGGCAGCTCACCTCCACCTCAGGAGACAGAAGAGACATCTCTAGTAAGAGTCTACTTTCCTCAGGTTTTCTGGGAAAATGGAGTTGTCTTTTGACTCCACAAAGCTGGGGTTATGAAGTCACAGTCTGGTTTGGTTACTCTCAACACATCAAGAAAGCTAAATTCCAACTGGGAGATGTTTATAAAGTCTCTGGAAGAGAAAAAAATGGTCTCCTTCTCAAGGAACTCTTATCAGCCCGATTGAGTCATTGCCTTCTCTTCCTTTGATTGGTGTTTTGGGGGAGAATGTTGTTCATTTGTGCAGTCTTACTAGGGTGCGTTCATGTGCATTTCATTCCAAACATAAGTTGCTGGTTTATGGAGGTTGGTTTAAGATTTTGCTTACATTCGGACATGATTAAAGTCCCTCTACATCAAGGGTCTTCCAACTTGGCAAGTTTAAGACTTGTGGGCTTCAGCTCCCAGAATTCCTGAGCTAACATGACTGGAGGAGGAATTCTGGGAGTTGAAGTCCACAAGTCTTGAAGCTGTCAAGTTTGAGGACCCCCTGCTCTATGTGATATCCAGCTCTTGTTAAGTTTGGCTCAATGAACAAGTCTTGGAAAAAAGGGAGGGAGGAAGGAAGGAAGGAAGAGAAGGAGGGATGGAGGGAAGGAAGGAGGGATGGAAGGAAGGACAAAAGGAAGAAAGAAAAAGATAGGATGGAGGAGAGAAGGAGGGACAGAAGGAAGGATGGAAGAAAGGAATGAAGAAAAAAGAGAAGGGATGGAAGGAAGGAGGGAAGGAAGGAAGAACCAAATGAAGAAAGGAAAAGATAGGATGGAGGAGAGAAGGAGGGACAGAAGGAAAGGATGGAGGGAAGGAAGGAAGGAAAAGATGGGAGGAAGGAAGGAAGAATGGGAGGGAAGGAAGGAAAAGATGGGAGGAAGGAAGGAAGAATGGGAGGAAGGAAGGAAAAGAGTTGCAAAAACATTCTGCAATGAAACAGAGAAACCCTTAATGTACTGTAGCTCTCCTACATCAGCTTTCTGATTCAAAAAACACTGGATTTCAAGGTGATATTTCATGGGTTTTAGTTGGAGAAGTTCAACATAAATCATCCAACCCATTAATCTATGGTAGATCTCACACATGATTGGAACAAGTGTGTAATGGATGTCCTTCAGGTGGAAGATTTGAGAGAAGTTATAGAGCAACAATAACAAAAAAAATGCCTCTCTCAACCCTAACTTTAGAAAACCCAATTCAGTTGACCGACAACTTTAATCTTTCAGGCATAATGGAACTGAGAAGCTCAGGGAATCTTATAACTAGGACTATCAAGATAAACTTGTAAAGTACATCTCCTAAAAGCATGTAATCAACTACAAGGAAGATGCTTGCCAAAGTCCTTTGAGATAGAACACTGCATTATGCGTGGGGCTCCAGGGTTTTCTCATTAAAACCAGTCGGTCTTTAGTTTCTTTTTTTTCTTTCTAGAAATACTTTATTGGGTTTTTTTCTTTTTACACAACTCAATCACTTAATAAACAGAACTATGACATTTTTAATACATTTACATATCATGTCCAATACAATCTATACAATCTATTTCTATACTTTCTAGATTTATTGTATGCACTTTCTTTTCTTATTTCTGTTGTCTGTCCAATGGTACCATTTTGCCCATATTACATAATATTCAGTGTCTACTTTTCCCTTTAGTTCAATGGTCAATTTATCCATTTCCGCACACTCATATTTTTTAAAAAATTTTGAAGCCTTCGGGTGGTATGCAGACTTTCTTCCAACACTGCTGTGAATATGGGTAACACCAAATGCTTTATCATTCTGTTGTATTTCCTTTTCATTATCCCTAAAAGAAATAATTCTGGGACAAAATCTGTTTGGCTTCCAATTAATTCCTGTAACCACGTTTGTGTTGTCTTCCGATATTGTTTTCACTTCGGGGCATAACCACCATGTTTGATAGAAGGTACCATTTTTTTGTTTGCATTTCCAGCAGTTTGGGTTTGCATCATTAAGTGTTGTACCTTATGATTCTTGAGGAAAGTATCTTTTCTTTTATGTACACTGAGAGCATTTGCACCAAAGACAAATTCCTTGTGTGTCCAACCACACTTGGCCAATAAATAATTCTATTCTATTCTATTCATTTGGGTAGATCTTGGCCAATCTTGTGGGTGCCGAATGCCAGCGATAAAACATTTTATGTTGGTTTTCCTTATAAGCCACCGATTTTGTTAGCCTGGCACATTTTTGGTAGGACATAGAAATCACAAAGGAAAACTCCAAATTTCCTTTTTTCCTTTTGAACACGAATGCCTGTGGACCAAATTATTTGGGGTCATCTCAGGATCGCAAGTTAGAAAGGGGATTTAAGTTCAAAAATAGGTACAGGTTTTGTCAGTGCCTGGAACACACTGCCAATGAACCATCCTCATTGCCACATCTTGTTAATTTAACAGAGAAGACCATTAGCTTACTGGATGTAATACATCCTTGTGGGAACGTTAGCTAAACAAAATAATGGTTAACTAAACCTTTTCATCATTGCCTCTTCCTGGTCTCTTCTACATCCTCCCCCCCACCCCCAATTATTGGATTCCTGAGCCAAAAACATCTGACTTTGCAACGATCAGTTACATAGGTCCTTGGAAATAACACAAACGCATGAATCAAAGAGTGTGAATTGGAAAGAAAAAGGAATAAGAAAGAAGAACACATAACCTCTTTTCTTTCTCTTCTCAACCTCCCTCCTTTCCCAACCACCCAATACCTACCTTCCATTGTTCCTTGCAGCTTAAGAAGCTCTTGTTGGCACCAGCGAACATCCAGCTAAATTACAATGAATGCAGCGGCCTCGGCACACGCAACCATGCAAACTCCAACCACAGGATCAGAACAAACCCTGCGCTGGCCAAGGTACCGTGTTCACCTCTGAAGGCGTACATTTAGACGAATTTGCAAATGCTCACCTTTGCACTTTCATCACAGAGCATAGTCTGGTTGTCAACTCGTAAAGCATTCCTGGCCTGCTCTCGAGTTGCCATAGGCAGGGGTGGGGGAGAACTGATGGAGCAGCTCGGTTGCTACGACCAGAAGCACATTCCATGCATACCTTTCTCCAGATTGTATCCCAGGTTACCAGAGCCAGCCGGAAAGGTGTGTTTTCTACAGCCCTTCATTGGAGAATGTGATTTATGACACACCCTGGGAGGAGGGGGGGGAACGAGGTCATAGGTGGGCAGTAAATTACATGGGGCAAAAAGTGCCAACATGTTGCTCCTAATAAAATAATTGGATTTCTTTTGAAACTTGGCTCAACCTCATAAATTAATTAGGGCATCCATCGGAACCCTGACACTGGTATTGACAGATGTCAGATTTTTGCTCCAGGAGAAATAGATGTCCTACTTTTCTGCTACCCTTGGTGTCACCACAGTGCACAAAATTGGACAATAGGTGAAAACATCATCCCTTTCATGAACCTAGAGCAGATCTGGGCATTTTATAAGTCCCCAGGCAACATCTGGCCCTCTGGCTGTCTCTGTCCAGCCTGCATGAGGTCAATCAGAAATTAGAAAGCAAATATTAATAAGGGTATACCATGCATGCAATACAGCTGCATTGCTTTTATTTTGAAGCGGGGTGTTATTTATTTTATTTTTCAATTTATGCCTGTGCATGCCTGCATGCCCACATAACTTCACAGCCCAACTGGTTCATCCCTTCATAAAAGTTCCAGTTTCTCCTGCAGCCTCTTGGGAAAATTAATTGCCCACCCCTGGCATAGAGGCTAGCTCACAGATCTCTAAGTCAGGGTGAAGCAGACAATTATTTCCAACTTCTGTTGAAAGAGGTGTCTTGGCTGCTCAGACCCACCATTCTTTCCTGATGTGTTTACAGATGTTGGAAATAATTTTCTTCTGCTTCTTTCCTGGTAGCTCAAGGGGTTAAAGATGCTGAACTTCTCAGATGGAAAGCTTGGGTTCGAGACCAGAGAGAGAGAGATGAGAGAGACAAGAGAGTGAGTGAGAGAGGAGAGAGAGAAGACAGAGAGAGAGAGAGACAAGAGAGAGAGAGACAAGAGAGAGAGAGACAAGAGAGAGTGAGTGAGAGTGAGTGAGAGAGAGAGAGAGAGAGGAGAGAGTGTGTGTGAGAGAGTGTGTGTGTGAGAGAGAGAGACAAGAGAGAGACTAGAGAGAGAGTGTGTGAGCGAGAGAGACAAGAGAGAGAGAGTGAGAGAGAGATGAGAGAGAGTGTGAGAGAGTGTGAGAGAGAGAGACGAGAGAGAGCTTGAGAGAGAGTGAGAAAGAGACAAGAGAGACGAGAGAGAGAGAGAGAGAGAGACAAAAAAGAGAGATGAGATGATGAGAGAGAGAGAGAGAGACAAGAGAGAGACTAGAGAGAGAGAGAGAGATGAGAGAGAGTGTGTGTGAGAGAGAGACGAGAGAGTGAGTGAGTGAGAGAGAGAGAACTTGAGAGAGAGTGAGAAAGAGACAAGAGAGACAAGAGAGAGAGACAAAAGAGAGAGAAGAGAGAGAGAGATGTGGTTGCCCTTAAAATATTAGCGATAGGCCTTGTTTGATATACAGGCCTGGTTTGCTTCCCTGCCAGCCATTCAGCTCAAGAGAAGATTATTCTGGCACCTTGGAATCTCCATGATGGCCATTGATTGCTTGAGGTTCTGGCAGTGGGTAATTCCATTAGCAGCCTGTATTAAACAATGTTTGTCTTGCCATTCACTGTAACTGAAAACAGAGCATTTAGGGGTACTTAAGAGAGTTGCAAACAGGTTGTAAGACTTGAGCAATCAGCATCAAATTAAGCTTTAAACTCTTCCTCTATCTTTTTTCCTTCCTGTTGGTAGCAGCGAAGGAACTGTAGAGCCCTAGGAAGTATATAGCGCTGCCTGGAAGCCTTGAAATGTAAGAGGATGGATATAAAAAGCAGCATCAAAGTCATTTAGGAATTTTAATGTAATGTTCCTTCTTTATTCTGCAAATAATTATTCACAGCTCGTCAATCTAGTGGCTTAAACTCAATCCTTCACTGCTAATATCTTTCTGTCTCTCTGTCTGTCTCTCTCTGTGTCTCTCTGTCTTTCTGTCTCTCTCTCTCTTTCTCTGTCTCTCTCTCTCTGTCTGTCTCTCTGTGTCTCTGTCTTTCTCTCTGTCTCTCTATGTGTCTGTCTGTCTGTCTCTCTCTCTCTCTGTTGCTCTCTCTGTCTCTCTCTCTCTCTGTCTGTCTATCTCTGTCTGTCTCTCTGTCTCTCTGTCTCTCTCTCTCTGTGTGTGTGTGTCTGTCTGTCTCTCTGTCTCTCTCTCTCTCTGTCTCTCTCTCTCTCTCTCTGTGTGTGTCTCTCTCTCTCTGTGTGTGTCTCTGTCTCTCTCTCTCTCTGTCTCTCTGTCTCTGTCTCTCTTTGTCACTCTGTCTCTCCCTCTCTCTTTCTGTCTCTCTCTCTCTGTCTCTCTCTCTCTCGCTCTGTGTGTGTGTGTGTGTGTGTGTGTGTGTGTGTCTCTGTCTGTCTCTGTTTCTGTCTCTCTCTCTGTCTCTCTCTCTATGTCTCTGTCTCTCTCTCTCTTTTAAAAAACAATGCTCGGTATCCATTCTGATAAGGTTCAGTTCCCTAATTTCACCCTTTTTTCTTTCTTTCGCTGCGACTCATTCCCTAAGACTGAGAATTCATGGAGCAATAAAGCGAAGAGCACCTGCCAGCCACAAAAGCCACAAAGACGTCCCTGCTCAGAACTTCTCAAATATCTGACTACCAGTGATGACCTCAGCCAGGCCAAGCAGACAGAAAACAGGCACAGCAACAGGGACAAATACACTTCTAAAAAGAAGGCACTGTTGCATTCTCAGATGCATCATTTACAAGGTAGGTAGGTGACCAGCAGAAATCATTTTTTGGGGGGAGGGGAGGGGTGTCTCATTTGACATTGTAGCACGTAGCTACTGTGGAAGAGGCGGCGAAGCATAAATGTGAAGGGAGGTGAACGCAGAAGAAGAAGATAGAAGAAGACAATTATTTCCAACTTCTGTTGGAAGAGGCGCCTTGGCCGCTCAGACCCACCATTCTATTCTGATGTGTTTACAGATATTGGAAATAATTTTCTTCTGCTTCTTTCCCGAGCGTGATTGGTGGCTCAAGTGGTTAGATACGCTGAGCTGGTCAGATGGAAAGCTTGGGTTCGAGACCCCAGCGCATGACGGAGGGGAGCTCTCGTACCTAGCCTCAGCTCTTTGCCCACCTAGCAGTTCAAAAGCGCGCACACAGATCTCTAAGCCAAGGTGATCGGCATACAGGCTTCACGATGAAACTAAGTGGGATACCTTTGTATCCCCAAAACTTTAACCTTAAACTGTCTACCGCGGACCTCACCCCATTCCTAAGAGGTCTGTAAGGGGGTATGCATAAGCGCACCAACATGCCTACCATCCCTCTCCTTCAGTTCCCATTTATTCATATTCATTTATTATCTATATCAGAGGTGGTATTCAGCAGGTTCTGACCAGTTCTGGAGAACCAGTAGTGGAAATTTTGAGTAATTTGGGGAACCGGCAACTACCACCTCTGACTGGCCCCTCCCCCATCTATTCTCTGCCTCCCGAGTCCCAGCTGATCAGCTGGGTCTACTTTGGTTGCCCTGCACAGGAAAACAGAACTGGGAAGCAGGTTAGTGGGGTGGGGAGGGAATGGGGATTTTGCAGTATCCTTCCCCTGCCACGTCCACAAACCCATACCCACAAAGCCACGGCCACAGAACCACTGATGTATATACTTATACCAGTTTATACTTATGTGTTTATATGTTATGTTCATACTTGTTTTCTCACACATGCTTGACTAACTAAACTAAATAAAATAAATAAATAAGAGAGGGAAAGAAGGAGCGTTGGAGGTGTTGACTCCTTTTCCATCTGAAATGCCTTTAGTGGTGGGTCATGATGGCTTTAAAGACCCTGAGCTTGTCAGCTGGAAAACTGACAGTCCGTGTTTGAGACCCAAGCGCCATAGGACTGAGTGAGCTCCCGTCCTTGCCTCAGCTGCTGCCTGCCTACCAGTTGGAAAGCATGCAAATGCAAGCAGATAAATAGGTACCACTTTGGTGGGAAGATAACAGCGTTCCGTGTGCCTTTGATGTATAACCATGCTGGCGACATATCTTTGGACAACGCTGGCTCTCTCGGCCAAGAAATGGAGATGACCGCTGTGCTCTGAAGTTGGACACCACTGGAGAGGGGAACCTGTACCTCTTTGTTTACCTTCTTACGGACATCTCCACCGTTACGTAGAGCGAGGCAACTGTCAGCAATAGCTCATAGGTGGAATAACCCTGGTCCTAACCCTCAGAAGGAAGCTGGGATTGTCAGTTTTTCTACTGTTTTGTACAAGTTGGGCAAGGGATGTCCTCAGAGCATCTTCTCCTCCCCGTGTGTGTATTTTTAACCAAACTAGAAGGCAAAAGGATTGTTAAACCAGCAATATATTCCTTCTGAGACACCAAAAACAGCTTTCTTGCAGCTTTTGAATAGGCAATAAATGTATCATCCCCTATTACATCTAAAAACTCCTCGCCATTTTATTGTCAAGTTTAAGAACTAAAAACCACAAAAGGGTTTCTTTATGGCCAGCTGAACATCTGTAATGAAGTTGAATATCCTCTGGTGTGAAAACGTTTGTTACTCTTCCTCGTAAGGGGATGGCAAAAGTAGGAGGCGAGGATGTCAGCCTTGCCCTGATGTAATTGCTCTGTTTCTACAGCTATTTTTTTTCCCCCTCCAGCAACTTAGGATCCCCAAGAAAAGGGTCATTTACAAATATTGCTTCTTGAGAAACGCATCTCTTTTTTATCCCCTGCTTCCAAAGGGAATAGAACGGCTCTCACACTTCAGCACAACATCTGGAGCTCGGTGCCATTTTTTTTTAATGAACTCTGAGTTAGGAGCAACCAAAATTCACACTTCATTCCCAGGCCCATCAACCCTGGTTTTATGGTGTCCCAAAATGTGAGGAAAGAAGAATGAAGGTTTCTTCTAGAGCTAGAAACCTATTAAATCATGGCAGCACTGAGTCCTGCTGTAAATGGTGCATAATGAGCAATTGTATCTCTGTAAAGGCAGTAACATTGGGTATATTATTATTATTATTATTAAAATTATTATAACTATTATAATTATATTATTATTAAAAAACTTGTATTCATTGAACACGAAATTCAGTCAACTGAACATTTAAAAATGAATAAAATAAGATAATAATAATAATGATCATGATGATGACTGAGTTTCATGTTTAATGAATAAAAGGGAATAATAATATATCTCTGTAAAGCCAGTGTTGCTGTCTTTACAGAGATACAATTGCCCATTATGTACCTATTATTATTATTATTATTATTATTATTATTATTATTATTATTATTA